GCTGTGGCCCATACTGACAGGCTTCGACTGTGGAGTAAGAGGAGAGAACTGTAGCTTTTAACCTTCTGTGACTAAATCCTACAATTTGTATTCATTTCCTGCTAAGCTCTTATTCAAAGAAAGTCTCCGTGTCATATTAGGAGAATTTTTTTTCCATCGTTTTCTTATGCACTAAAATTACTTACTCACACATCCCTTTTCAACAGTACTTCTGTAAGGTGTCTCCCATCAAAGAATTTTGGTGTATTTAGCCAACATTACTAAATTCATTCCTGTAAATTAAATCAGCGAAGAGATATGTAATGAAATCATTTCCAGTTTTTAATTGGAAAACTGAGGCAAAATCCCCCACAACATCTTCTCTAGCAATAGCTACCAAGTCAGTGTTAAGGACTGAGAAAAGTGTCTTTATCGGTGGACTTCCAAGGCAATTGGCCATAGATCTTTATTGTCGATGACATATTGTTGATGAATATTATGCTAACAGAGACCGTAAGTGCCTATTTTCTTTTCCAGTATCCAGCAGCTTCTATGGAACCCAGTGGCATGAAATACACCCTCAGTACTGGACTAAGTTTCAAGTCTGGGAGTGGCTGCAGCATCTCCTTGATACCAACCAACTGGATGCCAACTGCATACCTTTCCAGGAGTTTGATATCAACGGGGAACATCTGTGTAGTATGAGCCTGCAGGAATTCACTCAGGCAGCTGGGACAGCAGGGCAACTGCTTTACAGCAACCTTCAGCATCTAAAATGGAATGGTAAATAGACATTGGACAGAGACACAAGTAGAGTGGTCTGAATTCTGAAATCTTCAGAAGCCACTCACATTCCCCAGAGACATAACTGGCAGATCACAGTTGCTGTGTTTGCTATTTTGCTTATAGCTCTATATTTACTATAATGCTAAATTTTAAGGTAGGACTTAAGCTAGAATTCTGATGGACCAAGAGGAAAGGGTATAGTTCCCCTCTGGCTAGTTGTAGAAGTTGCTTCTTGTAGCTAATACCTTTGATTCTTCTGTGCTCATTCTCATAGGTTTTATCTGCCATATGCTTTCTTGCAGGCCAATGCGGGAGTGACATGTACCAATCTCATAATGTCATTGTGAAGACAGAACAAACAGGTGAGTGACAGTTGGGTAACTTGTCTTTTGATGGTGACAAAAAGGGGAAACTGTTCGTTCCAAGAGAGAGATACCAAAATGGTGTTCAATGGAAAGTATATCATGCAAAATTAAAGAAGTAACACAGTCAGCATCTGAAGTTTTGGGTAACACCACATGCACATGGCCACTTTTCCTGGGAGATCTCTGCAGTATCAACAGTCTACACTGATGGTCAGAGTTGGAATCATTAGCAGTGCTCAATGAATGCAGCTTTGTAGAGGACTTCATTCTGTGCTTCATTCACCAGATTTCAAGACAACTATTTCAACAATATGTCCAGTTAAAAAAAAAAAAAAAAAAGGAAAGAAAAATATTTTTTTATTAAGTTCTGCTAGTATCTGAAACACTAGGAAATTTCCCAAACAAACCACTTGGAGAGAAAAAAAGCGTTAGCATTACATTTCAATTTTTTCATATGTTTCAATGAAACTGAAGTCTCTCTTCCTAGTGCGTTCATTGCTAGATCCCTTTCCTCCCAGGACTTTGTTTCACTGAAGAAAGAACTTCAGCTTGGTTCAGCTGTCCTCTTCAGGCATGATTATTTTCCTGGTTCCTTTGCCAGAGCACTGTCTGTCCTCGCCTGTCCTTATCCAAACACCCTCTACCCCTCTAGTCCCTCTGTCCCTCTACTCCCAGCTTCTTTGTATGTGGGTGTGTTCAGGAGCCACGTTTTAATATCTCCTGACAGAACAAACAAAGATTTGCTGCATACAACGTCTCCAGCAAATACTGTCAGTCAGTTTATTCAGCTAAGCTGTAGAAGCCCAGCCTCTCCAGCCAGGGACACTATTCACCTTCTCCTTGCAGCAGGCAAGCCTTGCAATCTGCAATCCACTCCTTGCCAGTGTCTGCACAGTATGGGTGATGCTCATGCAGCAGCCTTGCTGCTTGCCATAGAGGTAACTCCAGTAATCCTTTAAGTCCTGATTTACGAGATCTTGGTATAATATTACTTACTCCTCCTACTAGAGATACATAGTACAGGACAAAGGACCTCATCTGCACATCCTGAAAAGGACTAGCTGATGGATGGTTCTCCTAGATATGCTGAATCAGGAGTGGCACAGTGGTTCTGGTGGCTCTGGTGATTCTGGTCATGGGCAGTGGGAGTGGGTTTAGTTTCTGCATGGGGAGGAGCAGGAATTGTGGATGGGGGCTGCAGGGAAACATACTCCTTTTGAGCCAGTAGGGACAGGGCTGGTGATTTTGAGGGGAACCCTCCCTCATTCTAGTAAACCATCACAGCTGCAAAGATATGGACACTGAAAGAGGCCAAAACGGGAAGGAAAGCTGTCTCCCCGTGTTCTGGCTAGGTAAGGACTGTTTTCAGAGGCAACATTAGGCAGATCAGGTGTCTAAGCAAGTAAAGGGTGTGTGCTACCGTAGGAACGCAAGTCCTGGGTGCCCAAACATGCAGCTATTAGTTAGTATGCCTGCAAAATTCCTATGTCATAAGTGGTAACTCAGCCAAACAGGATGATTTAGCTATAATTCATTTTTGGTTTTTTGATTTCATTTATGAATATGAAAAAAATTAGGTGTAACCTAGATCTGAACTTTATATCTCATCCTTTCTGACCTGGTTTTAAAAGAAAAAGAGATTTTTAAGACTTCTGACCTCAAAAATGCGCTGTGAAGAGAGTAATTTCCAGATCAACATACACATCATAAAGAAAATACTTCTGCTTATATTGATCCGTGTGACCAGAAGGTCACTAAAGACTATTCCTCTTTAGTCATGAAGGTGGTTTTTAGGTAAAGAAAGGGAGTTGATGTGCCTAGAATTAAATGGTCCTTCATCTAGGATGAGGCTTTGATGTTTCTCACTATGTGCTTAAGCATGAAGCTCTGTTTCAGAGACGACTTTCGAGTTCTACCATTATAGAAATAAATACTCATCATAAGCATCCTTCTGTTTTACTAGATATTTGAGAACACTTTCATCTTTACAGCACCAACGCACTGTCATAATTATCAGGGACTGAGAATTCAGGACTGGATTGGGTAAAGTTGATCTGGCATAGGAAACATCCTTCAAGGCCAGGCATAAATTAGTCAGGAAAAGGAAGAGGATATTACATTATTTCTAAAAGTCAGTGCTTTGTGTAAATACATTTGCCTGAATATGCAAAACCCCGTCCATAATTTGAGTGAAAGGAAATGATTTTGTGCATAGCCCCTCCACTTCTTGGTTCCCTTGACAGCTCTTTTTTTTCTTTTTTTTTTTTTTCTTTCATATTTCTAATTTCCTTAATGGTCAATATTTACCTCTGTGCTAAAAAATGTTTTTTTTAGTGATTTGATTTTCCTTTTGGTCCTTTACTTTCAGATCCATCATTAATGGTGTCCTGGAAAGAAGAGAATTATCTATATGACAGTGGCTATGGCAGCACAGTAGGTAACTAACATCACAATACTTCATGCATTTCTGAGATGGTTTTGTTGTTGTCTGAGGCTATTAGTTTAAATGTCTTCTTTTTGATTCCCAGAGTTATTGGACAGTAAAACATTCTGTCGTGCTCAGATTTCCATGATGACACCTAGTCACCAATCTTCTGGTAAGGAACTTGTAATTATATTTCTAATTGTTCGTCACTTGTCTCAGAGCTACTGACATGTAATAGTCTCTGTGGTCTTTTGTTGTTGGATTGAATCTGAGCCTCCAGTAATTTGAAACCAAGCAATGCTGATTCTGACAGATTTATTAGCTGTCATTATTACAATAGCTTGCTTTACAGAAATGCTTCTCTCTTCTCTATGTCAAGAGAAACATGATCACATAGTCTGTAATCTCCACATATCTTTAAAGTGACTGAGTCAAAGGGGCAGATGTTGCTGTCAGAGAGACGAGACATTCCAGCTACACCACACTTTTCTGCGGTATAGTAGGGTATGGGCAAACAAGGGCCATATTCCTCCCCAGAAGTGACTGTGTTTCTCTAGTGAGCCAGTGACTCATGCTGAGTAGATAGCTGGGTTTGGGGCCAAGCTTTGGGCTGGCCCAGGGAAGCCACAGGGCAGGCACCAAGCCCTCTGCCCCACTGCACCAGCACAGGGACCTCCTGCTGGAACCTGTCTCAGCTGACACGAGGGTGGTCACCAAACACCTCCTCACTTCCACGAGGGAGAGTTACACTCTGCCTGCTAAAGGGCAGAAGAAAGAGCAAACCCATTTGCTGTAGTGCCTGGTGAAAGTGCACTCTGGTCCCACGTGTCAGGACACACTGTGGGCCCTGTCTTGTGGGCAGGCGCCAGGGATGGAGGTGAGAGAGTAAGGCAGTGGGAAAGGAGTAGAGATGGCAGAGGAGCAAGAAATCAGGGAGGGAAAGGTAGGTTCTTCTTAGGAGGCTGTAAAGCAAAGAGATCTGAGGGGGACAGCAGTGGAAGTCCTAGGAGGATAAGAAAGAAAAGCACATTGCTGTAGATACAGCCTCACAGTGCTACCTCTGCACTGGGGGCAACCTGTGCTTCTGCATATGTACAGCAGTCACAGACTCTGTTCCTGCCAGTTCACTGCTTCTCCCAGCCCAGCTGGACTTTCCAAATGATATACAGTTTAAACTAATACACTCAGCTATGAATTCCAAAAAAAAAAAAAAGAAGAAAACTGCCAAACCTTAAAAAATACCCAACCAAACACGCTGTTTGCTTTCTCTGTCATCTCCACCTACTCTCATAAGATGGTTACCAGGATTTCAGAGCTCTTTGACAGGGTTGTGGACTTGTCCAGATCCTGGCATGGTGTGTTTATTCGCTGAATGCTTAAACCTAGAGTTAGGGTGGCATGCCAAGGGCACAGCCTCCTGTAAAAACTAAATTTGTATATCCCGTAAAAAAATGGCTCATTCCTGAATCATATGCAAATAATGTGTAACCTTTTGTCAAAAGTTTTGCAAGACAGCTTTGTTGAAACTGCATCATAACTCTTTTCATCTGTCAGGCCCCAGTCTCCTAACATGGCATGTTTGAAACCAGTCTCCATGTAGGAGCAGAGCAGGAGGCTATTTACACAGCTGAAATTCAGAATAAATCACTGGGTAGGTAGAAGGCAACTGAACTTCCAAGAATAAATCTCCAGCTAAGTAGAGCATAACAAACATTTGCAAGTGAATTGTGAGATTTTAAAATGAGAAGGCTTTATATGAGGGCAAATAAAGAACTGGGTCCTGCAGTCCTTACCTGGAATTCCCAGAGGCTTTTAATAACATCAGGGGAATCATAATCTGAGGAAAGGCAGTGAAATAAGCTTCATTTTACTTCCCCCACACCACACCCCCCTCCGAGCTGAGTGAGGTTCAGGTTAGTTCCTGCTCTTTGAGAATGGGAAGGCAAAATGACTCAGAGCACGTTTGCTGCTTGGGGGTCAAGGACAGTAATTTATCAGGCTTAGAATAGTAGAGGTTAGGTTTATCCCCACGGACTTGTTCAGTTTATGTTTCCAGTTATGTATGAATAAAGCAAGTGTGTGAATAACTTTGCATCTACCTTTTCACATGCAGTTATTGTAGTAGCTTGTGCAGATCTGACAAGTTTCTATGCAAATAAATATTTCCTGTGAGTCATTTTCCCATGCAAATGCCTGGTTTCCATGAAAAGTATGATAATTGTGCATTCATAGAAGCTGGGAAAACATGCGTGGGACCTTAAGCTTTGCTTTATGGGATTCAGGGACAAAGTATGCTGAAAACCAAACACAGAAGGGGCTCCCTCTCAGGACTATCCCACAGATTTTGAGAGACTTAGAGCAATCAGATGAAAGCTATTCATTAAGAACAAGAGCAGAGCCAGGCTGCGGTGGTTTGAGGGCGGGAGGGTTGAACGTGCAGACTGTGAGGTAGGTTGCAGTCACGAACAGGAGGAACTTTTTTTTTTTCATTTCTGAAGGAACACTTGTGCCAGAAACCCTACTCCTTCTCTGGCTGGCTGCAGGTGATAAAGCACCATTGATGAGAAATGGCTTGTTTCTATGGCTCTGAGCCACAGAAAAATATATGCGTGTCCAGCTGCCAAAAACTCCTACTAGCGCAGCCCCTTTCCCCCACCCTGCCCCCCCAAAGAACAACGCTTTGCCAGTTCATTATGTTTTAGTCAGGTAGGTGTTCTGTGCATTGGTACCAGCACATACATTTCACATTAGATCATCTCTTCAGAAACAAATAAGCCCCCAAAGATACGTGCTTCTGCAAAGATTAAGACATAATGGGACAATTCAGGGTTCCTTTTATAGATGTGATCATCTCATTTTTCTCTCTCTCACACATAACATGAGGTGAGGTATTTGTTAATCAAATTTAGGTTTCAAAAGCCAAATGTTTACCTCTGCATCCATTTTTATTCATCAATGGTCTCTTTGAGAAGTGTGCTGATTAACATATAGTAAAGAAAACAAAACTCTCCCTCCTCACTTAGATTACCTTCCTAAAAGTGATTATCTTTAAAAGAGATATTTGTTCTTTTTTGTGGTTTTATTTCTTTCAACCTGCTAGTCAGTGTAAAGCCTTTAATCAAATTTACAAATAGACTTCATTTTCCTTCCCTGCAGACTCTTCAGATGCAAAAAAATCTCAAGATCATACCCCAAAGTCCCACACCAAGAAGCATAGTAAGTCAACATCCATGTTTATAATGGTTGGTTAGCTGATTGAAGGAAAAAGAAACACATGAAAAGCAAATCCTCTTTGGAAGGGAAGAGGAAGCATCTTGAAAGCAAAACTGGTTGGATCACTATTGTGATTGAATTCTCCAAGGATCTGACGGTCTAGTACTGTTTGTTTACATTGTTTTTGACTCAATATTGCTAAATTTTTCAAATTGTTTTTATGAATGAGGGCTTATGAGGATGCAACCAGAAATCAGCCACCTCTGCCCTATGTTGAGCTGGGCTGGTGGAATGAAGTAAAGGAATGATAAGGAAGACTTGGGATTAAATCTGGAAGGTCTGTGCGTGGGCACAGTCATGCTCATGCCTGTGCCTGCCGGGTGTAGCATCCACCACAGACCCTGCTCAGCATCTCCTTGCAGAACTTCTCATGCGCAACATGACAAGCAAGCACCTGGCCCTCAATATTGCCACCTTCCTCTCCTCTAATATAACTCTCTTTCCACTGCTCTCACCTGTATTTTCTGCTAATTTTTATTCAACCAGACTCCGAAGACAGGATAGCATAATTGTGATTTCTGTACATAATTCCATTAATGTACTTAACTGAGATTTTTATGCGTCCTGTGCAATTCCCTATTTATAACAGAAAAGCTTAATATTGGTCCATCACTGCATTTCATGGTATTCAGTTTCACCTTGTTTTGATACGGCCCCCAGATTATGTCTCTTGCTGACTCCTCTTCTTACACTGTTCTGTCATTTTGCCCAAACAGAACTCCTGAACTTTATATCTGCACACAGATATCTCGTTTCTTTATTTGTGTGTATAACAAAGGTGTTAATGAAGGGATTGGATAGGACTGATCTGAAGATGGACCTGTGAAGAACTGGAGTCTCCTGACTTGTTCAGCTTGGAAAAGGGAAGGCTGGGGGGTTACCTCTTCATTGTCTACAGCTTCCTCAAAAGGGCTGATCTCTTCTCTTGATGGCCACCTGTAGGACATGAGGAAATGGAATGATGCTGTGACAGGGAAAGTTCAGACTGGACAATAAAGAAAGGTTCTTCACCCAGAGGGTGGTCAGTCATTGGAACAGGCTCCCCAAGGACGTGGTCACAGCACCAAGCTTGACAGAGTTTGGGGAGTATCTGGAAAATGCTCTTAATCATATGGCTTAGTTTTAAGAAGTCCTGTGAAGAACAGAGAGTAGGATTTGATGATCTTTATAAGTGCCTTCCAACTTGAGATATTCTACTATTTTAAGAACTCAATCACAGCCTTGGCATACAGAACAGGTCACATTGGCAGTCTAGGCTAATCCCTTACATTTCTGGTTTCTTCAGTACTGCTCTGTATCATGACCATTAAGTATGTTACTGATGTCCAGATAGACTAGGTCCACTACATTTTACTGGTTCTAGAAAACAATTACAATAGCAAAGAAAAATACTGAATTAGTCGACTGAAATCTCTTTTTACTTATGTTGCACTATATACCATTTTCGAGTTACCTTCACATCTTTGACTAGCTTCTTTCCTTCTTAATTTGGTCTAATTGCATACTTTTGAAGTCAGACCAAAGGACTGCTGTCTTTCTGGATAACCTTGTCACTTAATTTTTTATTCCTCATTCATAAACTACTTAATCTGATTTGTTCCATTTTTTAAGTCTTTTTTTTTCTTTTTGACCTGGGATTTCTGGTGCCATCTTTATAGTAACTGTGGGATGTATCTGTGTTTAAAATGGGAGGTCTACCTGCTGAACTTGCAAATCAGTTTTTGCCTTTTCTATACCATTTTCAAGCTTTTTAATATGTTTTTCACATACCATTTTGGCTGGCCAGTTTTGTCACTGTGCCCATATCCACTCTACACCTCCTTACTTACTCATTCATGTGGAATGGCATTTCACCTCCTGTGCCTTCTCTCTGTCAAGTGCATGGACATTCAGTGCCTGCTTCACAGTAATCTTGGCTGTTTCATGTACCACATAATAATATCAGGTTAGATGCTGTGCTGTAGAAGAGTAGCAGGAAAAATGGGCAAATGAGATGAGGGGAAGGCTTAAACATGCTCTCTTCAGGGCAGAAACAGTGCCGAAGGCAGAAGGAAGCAGTGGGTGGTTTGGACTCTGCTTCCTCTGGTTGCCAGGGCTCCTACCTGCCTGTCAAAGGGCTCAGACTGCCCAAGGCCAACACTTACCTCCAGCCTCGGTGTAAGGCCTGCCAGTACTTTTTGCCTATATATCTCTGAAATTGGGGTCCTGCACTCCAGGACTATGGCCTGTCCCTACTGAGTGTTCACCCTCTGTGGATGACACAAAAAAGCATAGCCCAGAAAGCTCCTGAGACACTCCTTCTTTCTGCCTCCTTTCCTCTTTCAGACCCTCGAGGAACTCATCTTTGGGAATTTATTCGAGATATTCTTCTCAATCCTGAGAAAAACCCAGGATTAATCAAGTGGGAAGACCGGTCAGAAGGTGTCTTCAGATTTTTAAAATCTGAAGCTGTGGCTCAGCTCTGGGGAAAGAAGAAAAACAACAGCAGCATGACTTATGAGAAACTCAGCCGGGCTATGAGGTGAGCTGAAACATTGCTGAGGAAGCCTGCAGCACACAAACACCCTAACTGAATGGAGAATCTGTTTGACTTCAAAAATGATCTGTCAACAGCATCAGTTGCTTTCTTTGACAGCTGAATCTCTCCAACTAATTTTGAGACTGTAGGGTTATGTTCTTTGTCTTTTCTTCCCCTCCTGTTTCTGTATCCTATAGTATATATAACATAAATAATTGTATATATATATATATATATATATCTCCATAAAGGAAGGAAAGAAAGTAGGAAGGAAACTTTGTTGCAGAAAGCTGCTGCTGAACTGGGAAGGCTTAAATACGCAGTAACGGCCAGAGACTTTGTTATTTTCAGCAATGTTCAGAAACTAGCCATACCTTAGACCCATTATCCTAAAATAGGTTTACAAATTCTATGTTAGAACTTTCTTTCCTTTTTGATTTAACATTTTGAGGATTTTTCCATAATCTTTTAAAGTTCAAAAGGTGCTTATAAATGGAAGATGAGGTTTTTAACTGGTTTGATTTTAGATTCTGGCTTATCTGGAAATAAACCCCCATGGAACCTCATAAGTGTGTGTGATAAATATAGCAATATGCTTTGACCTTAAATATGGTGAACTTCAAACCAGAAGCTAATTAATATAAAGTAAAAAGAAGACTTCCATTTTTCCTTCTCTGTCATTCAATTATGATGATCTTAGGTATTATATCTATCTCTCCACAGAAAATAAAGACTTTTTAAGGCAGCCGAGGGATTGTCTACTTGGCAGTGGTCTCTGAGCACCATAGGCGAATTTACTCTTAAATTTTTTTTGTGTGTTTTTATTTTAACAGATACTATTATAAAAGAGAAATCCTGGAGCGTGTGGATGGTCGGAGATTAGTATATAAATTTGGAAAGAATGCCCGTGGTTGGAGAGAAAATGAGAATTAAATATATCAAGAAATAACATTTAAAACACGTGGATGTAAATATTCAAAGACTATTTTCTTATATTTATGTACCAAGCTGGGGTGAAAAAACAATTCTACTTCTGTTGGGAAGAACGAACATTATCATTATTGGTGTTAAAATTATTTTATTTGAAGTATGTCCTGTATGGGGAAAAAATGTACACAGTTTTCTGTGATGTAAGTTAACATTATAGAATTATGATTATTTTTCCCTTTTTGTGAAGTTTTCCTCTTTTTATTTTTTTTAAATCATACAGGCATAATGTGATTTATGAGTGATTTATTAAAAGAAAGGGAAGGAGCTAAATACTAGGGCATTTAGGGAGTTAGATAATCCACTTTGGAAGGCAACTAAAAGTGGAGGAAACAGTAAAGCATCTCTGAGCCAAGTAGCCTTCTTCCACAGTCAGCTGGTTTATAGCTTTCATTGGCCAATACCACTTGTTCCTTCCTTTCTCCGATTTCTGAGTGTTTTAATGCTTTGCTGGCTTTCAGCTGCTTGTTGAATTAGACAGTGGGTTCCTCTTCAGTTGGTTTATCACAGCCACAAAGAGCAGTGGCTCTGCAAAGTGGCTGCAAGCATTTTTTTGGAGAACCCATACTACCTCCAGCACTGCGACCTTCTTCTCAAAGCAGAAGTTTAGGACCAGACCTTACCTGCTATGGAGTATCCTAATCTCCAAAGAGCATCCAGCTCATCCCAGGAAAAGGGCTATTTGTTTTTAACTGATATCTTTGAGGTGAACTGCAGGAAGAGAGTCAGTCTTGGGGACCAAAAGATATTGAAGGAAGATGATTGTTTTCTGATTGTGCAAACTTACCAAAAGGCACTGTTTTCCCAGTAGGAATGTTGATGGTCCTCTCATGCTCTTGCACTCCTAATTAAAGCATTCAAACCTGTGCCATACAGAACTGTGAGGAGGTGGGCAAGCAGAACATACGTGAATGCCATGGCATGAGGAAGTGGTCTCTGCACTTTCTTCAAGTTGTATGGTCCTCCTGGCAAGTCAAGTCTCACTTGGACAGATACTTTCAAAAAACCTTTGAGAAATGCAAAATACCCTGTGTGTGTAAAATATTAGTTTTCCCTTTGCTTTTCACAAGTCTGACTCTGTATTGCAGTTGTATTTGTCAATTGTGCTTGGAATTCTCAGTTGGAGAAAAACCCATCAACATAAATACACTGAGATTTTGGGGACATTCAGATCTGGGTCAGTATTTTGGCCTCATCTCTAGCAGCGCTGTGCAGAGATTGCATGTTCATTGGCAGGTTTTTCTTTCTCCACAAATACTTCCTGCTGACACCAACCACATGCAGGACATGGGGAAATAAAAACTAGAGGAGGTAGCGCTTCACCAGGTCACTGAGTACATGAGATGTGGGAGTTGAGAAACAGGATTTTCTTGGTGATGTTAACAGAGGTGAAACCAGGATCAATATGAACTCACTTTTTCAGAGATGGGAACTTTGGAAAACAATAACAAGGGCTGAGAAGTCCAAGATAAAAAAAAAAAAGAAAGAAAAAAAAATTAGGATTAAGAATATTAAATCCATCCAATATTCATTTTCTCAGGAGTCTCCTGGGTTTGAATCTATATTAGCTTGAAATTCAGCAAGGTACAGCTGGAAGTTGCAGGATATTCCATTTTTTGTTTGTATTGAAAGGAAATAGAGATGAAACCAAGAGACAACAGAAGTATCAATATAAAGGGTATAAAATGTGCTTAGCAACAATTTGTGGGCAAACATGAGAGCCTAACTTATTATCTACACATGTAGGGCATGTTAAACAGTAACACCACCTCCTACACTGTGTGTGCCAGAGCCGTCACCATCAATTACCCATACATGACAATTTTTACTTTTCATAACCTGGGTGGAGAGAGGTTCATCTTATTTACAAATCAAATAATAAGCCTGTGTACTTCAAAGCATTTTTTTTCTTTGAGTCTCTTTTTTTCTTTTTGACTGACTGTGCTAGTCTTGCTTGCTTTCACGCAACTCAATTAATTTCCTTTTTTAGCCTAATTTGCTACATTTCACTTCCTTTACCATAATTTTGTAGTTCATATAATAAGAATCGGGCCACCAGATGAGGAGAGCACTTTCACTTTGCTCCGAAGACCATTTCTTCCCCCCACACCTGATGACTATTTGTAGCCTTTTGCTCCATGCTCTTCACATCACCTCCCAATCCACACCTTGGGTGAAAATCTGAAATCAGTGGTATCATCACAGATCTGTTGTACCTTATCTCAGTTAACATATATACTACAGCAAGTGATTATAATACCTTCACAAACCTGCTTTTTACCTGATTTCTCATGAAATTTCTTGGGAGATAAAATGAACCAGTGACACATGAGTGTCACCATATAGGCAGATAAAGGTTTTGAAAGATAACGCTTTATTTAGAAGCATACTGTACAAATCTAGAGAGTGATTTATGCTGGGGTGTAGTATAAACAAATCTTCCACTATCCCATCTTTCAGCACGTGGAAATCGTGCAAGTTTCTCTTTCCACTCCACAGAACTTTTCAGACTAGGTACTTGTCATTCAGCATTACAATAGCACAAAGTTGGAATATAAGACAGCCAACATTTACTCTGTTTTACAAATATATTAGCCTTTGCCTAAGACAAACATGAAGGACTGTTTAAAATTACAGTTCTTGCCAAGGACAGATGCAACCAACCAAAGGGAGTCTTTTTACCAGACCTAAACAAACGGAGAAAATGAAGAGATGAATTTTAATGTAAATTGCTATTTAAACAAAAAGCATTTCTGATTGCTCTTATATTTTATATTTCAGAGGCTGAGCAATCATATTTTCAGATGTCTCCTTTAAGTTAGCTGCTGCTGAACTGGTAGCACCATATGTATAGATTTTTATTGTACCATAATTTTTCATATGTATAAAGTTCTAGATAGGAAAATATATTGTATTTATAGAGTTACATGCAAATCACAATGTCAAAGGTGTTGGCATGAGCATTTTCAATATTTTCTGCACAAAATTTGAGCAGCTTTCTCTAAAACCATCCTGATAAACTGTATGTAGGTTGTTGAACTACATAGACATAAAAAAGTTTAGTTACATTTTCATCTTTCTTTCTGCAGCACATTGCATAATTTCTGCTTGCTTCTCACAGCATCATCTTCAGTGTCTACGTGTGGAAACAAATCCAAGTTAGATATTTCACTATTACCATTGTAAATCTGAGCTTGGAGACTATGTATTCACAAAATGGTTCTAAAGACTGTTTCTATTTTTGTGGATATTACATAAATTCAAATAAAACACTCATGAAAGAAATTTTTTGATTAATGTTTATCTTCCCTTTTTTGTGTCTCAAGACGGAAAGCGACCAGTATCAATTCTTTCAGTACTGAAGAGTATTTCAATATTGACAAAAGGACTGATGTAACTACCACAAAATCCAGTAGCTTAAATTTACTAGCATGTTGAATAGCCCATCTATTGTGAAGATACTGGATTTTCAAACCTGTTTTGTATCTCACAGCCCTCACTGAAATAATGGATTATGTCAACACAGCTAGACTGCCTTTCTTGTTTGGCTGCTAAACTTGACAAAGGCCTTACTTCATCACTGATTTAACTTCAAGGTATTTTGAACTGAGTGCAAGGGCTGGGCTGATTAAGGATGCTGTTACTCACACTGAGCATTTCCTTTACTGAATCAAAGCAGCTAAAGCTATGAAATCCTGTCCTTCGTGTTATTTTTCCGTATAAGTGGTGGCTACAAAAAGGGAATATCTACCCTGATTTGGTCTGCAGCTTGAGTGAAAATCCTTATAATTAAAAGAAAGTCCAAATAGACCTGTATGGATGGTATTTGCACTCTGTGTGGGGCTGTGTCTGTATCAGTAGGGTGTGACAGTGTAGAGCATGGTTCTGCAGTGAGCCAGCCTGTAGCCCCTGTGGCTGCTGGGTTTGGTATCCCAGGCTGGCAGCGGGAGGTGGTGGAGTGTGGCATGTCTGCTGCAGAGACCTGTACTTGTTGCTGTGCCAGCACATCTGCAGTTGGGCTTGAACCTCAAATCAAGAGCTTCGCTGCAATGGGGCAAATCACACCATAGTACTCTATAATCTGCCAATGTGCTTAATTTTAAGCGAGTAGTTCTGCTGCATTTAAAGTTACGTATATCGATTTTTGAGGATGGCGGTTTTGGAAGTATTCTGTCTATATTGAACTAGCCTATATTTGAACCCAGAATTTCAGGGGGCTCCAACATTATGCCCTCATTAATAGGAGAATAGGTTTGAATTTTAAACACAGGCACAAACCCCATTTTTTAAATTCAAAATGAGGCCCGTGTCCTGAAAGAGTGGTCATATTTTCAGAACTTCAGAGTTACAAGTCAGGTTTCAGAAAGAATTGAAACTGGATTTCAGGCAAGTTCAGACTGAAATTTGAATAAGCACACAACTGTTTTTCCAGTAAATGGCTGGAGCTTTTGTTTCAAGCAAATTGAGGCCAATATTTGAGACAAATGAGAATATTGTTTGGAAACATACAAACAACTGAACACTTAATAAATAAAAAAAACCAAACAAAAACAACAAACAAAACCCCACAAAAATTCCCAAGCAAACCAAAACTCTTCTTTGGTTGTCACTTAAAATCAAGGAAAACTTCAGCTTTCAGCTGCAGTCTAAGGCCACGTGAAATAAAAATTCAAGGCAAAATTCAGAGTTTGCAAATCATATGTAAATTGAGAATAAGTAAGAGGAGTAGTGCAAATAAAGTCTACCTACATCTAAACATGGTACAAATTTGTGTGCAGGTCAGCATCAAGGACAAGTGAGAATTAGTTCAGGTAAGTGAAATCTGGTACTGCAGAGAGATGAGCAATTATGAGTTACCAATACTAATAGCTTCCAAGAAGTGTAAGTGGGTTAATTATAAAAACTTGACAGATAGATTATCTATCTGGATTTTCAGCATTTGCTCCCTTGCTGATGGAGCTTTGCACAGTGTTGTCTAAGTCCTAAACTTCGTGGAAGCCAAGAATTTCCCCCAACAACCACCTTCAGTTCACCTAAATGTTAGAGAAAACAATAGGAAGAGAAAAAAAAATAAAGGAGGAGGAAGAGATTAAGTAGATGGCTGGATCTTACTGCACCCAACAGTTCTGTGTGGAAATATAAAGGCTGTATGTGCAAAAAAAGTTAATGATATCCAAGTCACTCTATTTCTAGTCTTTCCATTAGAGGCTGGTTGCAAAAATTAAACATAAATTACTGTTTACAAGCCTAATTATAACTTTAGGAAGAAGAAGAAACTATAACAATGTGTACGGTGCATCATCTTGTGTGCCAACAAAAATTAATTATGAAAAATGACTGAAGCACTATTTCTGCTGAAGAATTTCCTCTCTCTGTTTTCAGTATGGTGTGATACCCTCTTTGCTTTCATCTTGGTCTGAAATTCAAAAAAAAAGTTCAGTCTCAACACAGGGAATGAAGAGGGAAATGGATGATCTGTAATGTTGTAGCAGGTATTGCAAAACAAATAGGCAAACTATAGCTTCTTCTTCCTAAGCTTTTTGGTTCCTTACCTTTTTTACTGTCCCTAGGAACAAGGTGTGAAGCTGGGGATAAATTTCAGTATCAGTGACACATCTTGCAAATTTTGTAGAGGAGCCTCCCCGTCTCTCTCTAAGAGATGTGAAGAGACCTTCAGAATATGAAGACTGAAAGCCTACTTCTTATAACTGGGGATGCTAAGAGGATGAACACAATACCTTGTGCACTGCTTTCTAAAGCTCCTTTCTGAATCTTAAAAGTTTTTCGGGACAATAATGCAACCTTCAGCGTTTTATGGCAAGGAGATTATTGTTCTTCACAGCTCACTAGGGAAGGCTGCAGGATGGCTCCATAGCAACCTATGAGTGAGAAGTGCGGTGTTTATTCAGGTTGCAGCCCCTGGAGACCGTAGGATTCACTGTGTACAAAGGTCTAGTTCCAGTGTACATCTTCATCTCCTGCTTTTCTCAGATGTGCCAAGCAGATGTAGGCTGAAGACTTTTGAGAATGCATCCCAAATGCTTCTGTGAGTGCTGCAGAAAGGTCAAAAGATTTTTGGGATGATTGAGTCTCCTGGAGGTGATGCTGCCGTGAGGATGCTGAGACACAGTTGTCTGCTGGAGATCATGAAGCACTCTGGGAGAAGGGACTGTACTTTCTTCAAGTCGTGCCATTTTTTCTCACTACTTGCCAGATTCTGTCTCCAATTTTTTCTCACATCCAGTTTTCCCAAGTTTTGAGGTTATAAGATTGATGGCTATACCCACAGAACATGCTCTTTCCTTGGAGTTTGTCTGTCTGTCTTTTGAGTTCAGCTTTCATGGGCTAAGACAAAACCAGCCCTTTATAGGCTGTGAATTTGCCAAGCAGGGGAAATTTAAAAGTGCAACCCAAATCTGTAACCAGGGGCTCTCTCAGTGAGTCACTGAAGTTTGGAGGGAATGGAGGATCACTCCA